CAAGCAGTTAAAATGCTTATTGTGTAAAAATGATGCATCTACGTTTTAACTATTTTTGTTAATATGTGCATGACTCCATTTGAATCTTATTCAATAGAGAGACACAATTTCAGTTTAAAGCATGAACTTGTCCACTGTCTCACAGGGCTTGGAACTCATATAAAGCACAACTGCCAAACCCAGTGTTGTTTTGTTCAGTGGAAAATGGGAGCTTTATGAGATTCTGTTCATAGTTTCAGCACTATTAAATCCCCCCTAAAACATTTCAGGCATTTTGTAAGCTTCAAGTGACATCAATTGAGTGAGTGTGCTGCGATGCCCGTTGGTATTTTGTACCTCTCTTCTGTCGAGGGCTGCGTACTCGGCTTCTATACCCTCCGCCTCAGGGGCCAGAGAGAAGACCATCTGCGACTCCAGGCACAGGGCCAGCTCTGTGTGGTGCTGCCTCTCCGCACAGTCACATGGAGTCTCGCGGTTCTCATTCTCAGCAAACAGGTCTGCCTCTCGCTGCACCAGCAACTGAACAATTCAACACAAAGCAATACTTTACATGAGAAGATAACATCTCATTGTGCAGCTTTTAGATTTCTTGCATATTACAAATACTTTCAAAAATTTGTTTAGTGAAGGACGTACATATCTCAACTTCAAACAGACTTTATGTTTTAGAGCACCTCACCCCCCAAAAAATAAAGTATGGCTGAGATCATTGCTTAAGATGGACATGTTAATGTGAAAATAAAATACAAAGTTAATTTTAAAAGTTGCAAAATTACAAATTAGAAGACATGTGGATTACAACGGCATATCTTACCTCTACACACGTCTTGACACCCGAGGCAGCAGCATAGTGCAAACAGGTGTTTTTCTTGTTGTCAGTGGCATTCACATCAGCTCTTTCGTACTCTCCATGGTCAAGTTTTGCTCCGGTCCACGAAAGGACGATTCTCAGACACTCTGCTCGCCGGTACTCATCTTCATGTGGTCGTGTGATGCGCGGCTGCAAGGCCCCCTCTGAAGTTAGTATCAGGGGGCCCATGCACAGGAGGTGCAGAGAGGTCTCATTGTGCACATTACGCTTATTGGGATTTCCATCTTTGTTTAGAAGAAAGGACCTAACAATAATAACAAAAATAAGATTTGAACATTCACATAAACAACATGTTAAGAGCAGCACATTTCCAGCTATTGTACAGATTGCTTTGTCATTGAATAAGAACTGAAAGTGACTTTCTCAGCAGAGGTATTCTTGTGTACTAGTTGAATGTCCTATACGGAGCAGGTGCTCAGAAGAACATGGTGTGTCCCTGACTTGCTGTACTTTGCAGGAACAGCCTCATTAGAGTGTCTGCCTGGGCCTACATGATAGATTTTCAGTAATAGCTTTTATCAGTCTTTCCTTGGAATTTGTTTTTAGAATATAAATCTACACATTTGCTTGGATTCATTAATTTAGAAAATTTATTTCTGTCTTATTTTGACAATAATGACAGTGCTTTATAATCTATTGTATTCCTTAACCATGGTGACCTTAAAACATCAGATGCTTAGTCATTACTTTGCAAAAAACCATAGCTCACAGTTGCAGCTGTGAATACAGTTTTTAAGGTGCCTATACTCCCAACTGCCTGAAAATTATGCCAGGAAGCCTGCTGTAATCCATCTTCTAAGGTGTGGTGAGGTAAGAGTCAGACCCACATACTCTGCAGTGTGTAATCTGTATTCATAGCATGCATTGATTCTGGATGAAGTGTCTGCAACATGGACATTTACACTGCTCACTCATGTCTAGGTTCAGTTGCTTAGGATTTAGTAATCATTCAGATCCTCTATTTCTATTATCAATTTTTTCATTTTAGCATCTTGGCAATGGTTAAAACCATATAGCAGAATGTGTATGGGTAACATAGACCCCTAACTGCATTAGTCAGTGTTTAGTTCTGGACTAACTGCAACATCCCAGCAAAACTGGAATATGATAACTAAAAAAACAAAAATAAGATATAAAGATAAGAAAAAATGCTTTTCAATGTAAAAAAAAAAAAAAAAAAAAAAAATGAAACAAATAAAAAAGAATAACAGAAAATAAAGTGTAAATAAAAAACACTTTCAGGATGGAGCCTCAAAGTGGCCATATGCATTCTGAAAATATGCTTACTGAGAGACAAAAGGGACTTAAATAAACATTTATAGTGAAAACATGGACAATTCTTACTATGTAGCAATTTGTTGATAAGTAACAAATAGTAGATACTAACCTGAGTAGTCGTAGCATTGCGTGCCGAGCAGCATAGTGTAGTGGAGTGTTGTGCTGGTAGGACTCTCCATAGGTGGAGTTGGGGTCCAGTGCTTCCTTAAACTGTGGGTTGCTCTCATAGAGCTGACAGGCCAGCAGCTCATCTCCGCTGATGAGTGCTTTTCGAAACTTGGTGGCAGTGTTCCCCATGTTTCCTGTGACTGCTGAGTGTGAGCACAGGGAAAAAGCCTCTCAAGTGGTCCTCAGCAGCTTGGGTTCAGCAGGGCAGCATGGTGAATGTCCTAAAAAAAGACACAAATAAAAGTTAAATGGAAATAAACACATGAACAAAACACTGAACTGAACAGCAGATATGCCATGTGACAACAATATCAGAAATGTACAAAGAAAATACCGGTGTTCGATTAAAATTATTATTTTTCTCTTTTGGGATAATAGGGAAAAGTGGTGCTTCTCCCATTGCTCCAAATAAGGTCTGCATAGTCGTCAGTACGGTACCGGGAAATAAGCCTCACTATTCACATTACAGCTACAATATGGGGCCAGCTAGTTTCCAATTGAGAGAAGGACACCACTTCCTCTGTCATCACCAGGAGTTTCCGTTGGGCTCTGCCAAAACTGTTCATCCCACTGAGGCCACGAGCCGCAGTGAAGCAGGAGACACTCCGCTCAAGAACATCACGCAGCACGACACCAATCCACCTCCACCACAGCCATATGGTCCTGACTGTTGGGAATGAAGCTTTATGGTCTTTATGATGCTGCTTGATCAACTTCCTTTCCTAAATATATTCACACTCTCACAGTAACAGTGGCTACATTTTTTGTGGCCAGATCAGATCAATCTGATAGCCCATATCAGATAAATCTGTGTTTGCATGTATGTACAAAATCATATAAACCAAAACACCCTTTATGTCAGTTCTTACATGGACTTTTATAAAGTGGTGTACGAATTTCCAAGTAGAAATACTTTTAGCTACATTTTTGATCTGCTTTGTTTCACCAGTTGACCTTTCTGTTCTAGTTTCCTCGTTAACACAAGCACATTGTGTGAAAGTGAAAGACAAAAAATGAAATCAGATTATTCAACATCAAATTTAGCAGAGTCAATCATAAAAAAACGTCAGAATTCACAAAGCTGGCTATTATGATCAGATTTTTGATTGCATGTAGCTAAACGCACTGAGCATCGACTAAACTAGCCACATTTCAGTAACCTTGTAAACAATAAACGTGCTGCAATATTTGTACTTAACAGTAGAAACCCATACATATTTTTCATTTTAGTGGCTAACTTAAGCTTATAGTTAACTATAAACCCAACACTGCACACTAGGCAACACTGACAGCCACAACACATCTCGCCTGATGTCATATCACACAAATCAGAGCAGACGGAGTGGATCGCCACTCCACTGTTCATCAGACAAAAATAGGCCACGTTTTGTGTTGTTTACCGTTAGCTTAATCACTCATTAAAACCTCATACAACAGTGGTAACGACATACCAGTACTAAATTAACATCTTTGTTTGTGACACATTTTCAAGAGCAACAGTGACCTCAAACCTTAGTCACTGTCAGCTGACAGGTTTCGATTTCTCGATGGTGCTGGATAAACTACAGTGTCCAGCATGTCTTGCTAGCTTTATGTTATTCATAAACAAAACCCAACAGGACGCTATCATCTGCGTTGGCTAACGTAAACGCACACGCTAGCAGAGCTAGCTTGCTAACTGTGCTGTAGCCAACTTGGCTAACCTAGAACACTTGGCTAAGGCAAACTAAACAAATCACTTGTCCAGTGACTGTGAATTTAACTTACATGAACAGGGCAGACTATTATTGTCGCTCCGTCTCTGTAAGAATAGCTGTCACACTCGGATTTGTGCTTTACAGAAGCTATTTTGATAAGTGAGTGCTCGCCATATGTGCGCTCCAGTGATGTTTTTCTGTTCCGTCCACTCGCCTGGCTGCGCACGGGTTGCCAGGTTGACAACATCCCACAAAACACGAGTTTGTTCCAACAGTGAGTGTTGAAAGCCGATGAGAAACAGTGGCAACACACACATATGTTCACAAAATTAGTAGTAATAATAATAATCATAATAAGGAAAATTTAAATATGTCCCTCTGAGCACGTCATTTCAATAGCAATATTGGCTAAGCATGTTAATTAATAACACGCCATACAGTACAATTGTTGAGCACAAACAAAGACCGTGATACCGTATTTTACAAAAGTCTGTTTAGACAGAAAGCAGACTTCAGTCTATCACACTTCTGTTAACGGGTTTCAAGTTGGTCTACGCTGCAATATACCTTTTGACCACTTGAGTGAGACAAAGTCCACTGAAAAAAAAACTTTCTGGGTGACAGGCAGACTGTCTGTTCTCAGGTGTGTGTGTGTGTGTGTTTGTCGCTTTCATTCTACAGTATATCGGCGATTGTAGGATTTATGTATTTGAAAAAATGTTAAGCAAGTTGTTGCTAAATTCAAGATGGCATAATATGACGTGGTCTTCCGTTCATTTGCATGTAGCGAACTTTAAAAAAATCTGAAAAAAACATTTGCGTCACACAAGCAAACTTTTGCGTCTGTTTAATATCAAAGGTCTGAACATTACAATTTAGAACAATATGATATGACTTTTGATAAAGAGTACACAAACATCTTTTTACAGGCTCAATAAATAATCTGTAAGCACAAATGCCTAATAACAAATAGCCAAAGTCTTGTAGTGCAAAGCAAACACATTGGGCAAAAAAGAGAAACAGATACAGATGTAGGCTTAGGTCAAACACACTAAACTATACAAACGATTACAGCTACCTTGATTGTTAGACATAGGCATTGACTGAAAAATGTATATGTAGTTTATTTTGTCATCTTAGCACCGCTAAATACGAATATAATGTGTCACAACAACAAAACACCTGCTGAGCTTGCATGTCAAAAAGGCAAAATAGAGTTCAGTGTTATCAGCATTGGTACTGATTATTTGAATGATTTGAATCCTTTTAGTTTTAATTGCGGAGGTAAAAAAGTATTATTATATTGAACTGAACGTTTAAACAGTCCTTTTAACATTATAGTTTGCCAATACAAGAAGCAAAACGTTAAACCACTGCTTATGGTTTCATTTTTGACACAATAAATATTGACCATGGTGGGCCACCATATTTTCTTGATGAATAGCCTATTAATGGGAAATACTGGGGTTCATGTAAGGTCTTGGTAATCCAGTCTATTGGTTTGTGTAAAATGAATAGTAGGCTGCCATGTTTTTGGAAGAGGGTGTTTCTTTGCCGTAGGAGCTGTTGTTGACCGTGGAGACCAAATCCTCACATTTAATGTCAACCGGTGTGTCCTCTGCACTGGGAGTGCTGAGAGACAGGCGTCTTCTCTTGCACACTGGTGTATATGAATCTGTTTTATCTAAAGAGGTGGACACTGGTGAATCAGTCCAGGGCATCACACTCCCATTCACCTCCTCATCCAGTGACTTTGTTTTGTCTGAGTCTTCAGGAAAAATTGATGTGGGACATGGCCTAGGGGACCAGGGCAGGCTTGGGGACACCTTCCTCTGATAGGCCACTCTAGACCCCCAGCCCTGAGTCATGGTGGAGAAGGGCGAGTCACTGTAATAGCTGAGGGCGTGGGATGTTTGCATGGACAGGGACTTGATGCCATAGGGCAGCAAAGAGCTGTACTCCCCTTCATATGGGCTCAGGTCCAGCTTGTTGTTGCCACTGCTACTGCTGTTGTTTCCTCCTTGCTGCATTGAAGTGACAAACCACCGCTGTGACACTCCCTCGTCTGTCTGGGGGGACAGGAGGCTGTTGGTCTGTGGCACAGCTCTCTCACTATTGTAATAGCGACTTTGAGGAAGGTTGTGTACCAACTGGTCCTGGAACAGAGGCTGCATGGCATAGCGTGCCCCAGGTACAATCTGGTGAGCACGAGACGATTCTGTGGGGGACGGAGTGAGCCGGTCGCTCTCCGGAGCAGTGTACATTCTGAAACATACATCAGTTAAGTAATATATAATGTACAGGACTTTTAGATCGATGGATAAAGAACAATAAATGTATACTCACGAATCATAATTGTCTCTGAATCCTTTGGCAAAGGGATTATGATCTATTTTTAATTGTGTGATCTAAAAGAAAATAAGCAGCATATCATTGAGATTTCTGGTGTATGTACTCACATCTAAATAAATATTTGTTGTAACAATTGTATTAAGGTGCAGTGGAGAGACACTTACATCAGTGTTTTGGTAGGCAGTAACAGCGATAAACTGTGTCTCTGGGAAGGTAAAAGTCTGGGTCTTGTGTTCATTGCTGATGTCCTCGACTCCATCCTCAGAGACCTCGACGATGTGCAGCCGAGGCTGGTATTTGTGCAGTGATTGCAACACAATCATCTAGAAAGAATTTTTTTTCATATATAAAAATGTTCACCTTTTGTTTTACTATTTAGCCAGCTATAGCATTCAATAAACATAGCCTAGTTTAAACAATTTTAAGACCACTTTAATATAAAATAATATAAAAAGATATGTATGCTATTTAATAGGCCAGAATTTTTAAGTTTAATAAACTTTATGTGCATTTAAAAAATGAAGAACATACCTGAGAGGTGCTGTGATTGGTGCCTTTATTGTTGGTCAGTTTGAGTTTACTGAAGGAGATCTCTTGTCTCATCCAGTGGGCTCCAGTGTTTGGTGATTCAGGATGGATATATATTTTATTTCCTAAGAAAAAATAATCATAATTTAGTGTAAATTTGTGTTGTAGTCATCAAGCGATATTTTACAGGAAGCGTTGTGAAATATAATTTTGTCTATCATTCACTATTTCTCAAATTCTGCCCTGTTAAAACAATAGCCTAATGATTTTGTGAACTTGGGCCAGGAGTCTACCTTGACTGCTGTTGTCCGCTTTGCCGCACGTGACCCACTTGCCCCCTTGAAATCGCCAGTGGTTGGGATCCGCGAGAACAACCTCCACAAACACGTTGTAATGCGCAGTTAAGTTTAGCCCAGCTATGTTAAAACTTAAAAAAGGAAACATACGCCTGGAAAAACACAAAACAGAGACTATTGATAAGATTGCTTTGCAACCATGCGCACTTTGCAAAGTTTGTTGTGGTCGCGCGGTCCATACCTGCCCTGTTTGGTGATGATCATCTCCGTGTGGTGTCGGTGGAACTTGAGCCACAGCGGCCGATTGCACAAGTACACTTGCGCGCGCGTGTGTGCCGTGTTCGTAGGTAGGGCCATGTTGCTGGCGTAAGACGGGTACAGGCAGCCAGGACTCTGGCCCAGTTGGTAGGCCGGACTGAAGTGGCCTCGGCCAGAGGAGGAGGGGGAGAATCCCGCTGGAGGCAGCACGGAGCTCAGATGCAAAGATGAGGGGTATCGGGGTGCACTTGAAGAGCTGTAAACGGTGCTGCTCGGGGTATAAGGGAGGAACGAGCACGGATTGGCCGTCTCTGTGCTCTGTTTGGAGACTGAGGGTGGGATGTAGTAGCGGTCTACGCCATGGTCCCCAAACCTGTTCGCGGCTGGACGACTCTTCTCGCTCCAAGGCCGGAGACTTGCGCTTCTCATCAGCTGCGTCTTTGGCAGACGAGAAAGGACTGCTGTCTCCATCACTGCCGAGCATTTTTGTAACTAAAGAAATTAAATAAAGAACAATCTGTTTTTGTTACAATTTAAGAATATATATATATATATATATATATATATATATATATATATATATATATATATATATATATATATATATATATATATATATATATATATATATATATATAGTTCAAGTGCAGTTCAAGTGCATTTCTCCCGTTGTTTTGGCCTTTTTGCTGCCACGGCAAACCATTGCCTGTTGTTTGTTTATGGCTGTAAAATGTAAACCTTGAAATGTAATTGTCGATCTTCTCATGTAAAAAAATATATATATATATATACATATATATGAATATATATGATAACTTATACGCACAGCACCATTTTACGCAAAGCAAGAATTTGATAAAGTTGTAAGAAATATAAAGTTTTCTTGTGCCGATGATTGTGTTTAAGACATTTTAAGAAAGTTAACATGCTTATTGTTATAAGGCTGAGTTTTCTGTAAGGATCCATAAAATGCTGTCGATATAAATTAACCAAAACATTTTATATTAGTCTAAAGGGACTAATTGATAACATTAACCTGTATTAATTCTGTTCAATTTAAGGTGGTAAGAAAGCACACACCTACACTCATTACTTTCTCCTTTGTTGTTTATTTTCTCTATTAAAAGTAATAACCCAATTCAGATTAAAAAAACATATTTGTGGCCAACAAAAAAAAAAAAAAAAAGCCTACAATGGTCTATAATTTTATTTTGCTATGTTCATCGGCCTGAGCTGTAAATTTGTAGAATTAAAATATCGGAAAAGTATTGACTTACCAAGTGCTTGTTTGTTTTGTGGGTAAATTGTCAAAAGGGTTGTGTCCTCTAAATGTTGAATTTTTCGTCCATGTAACTTAATAAATCTTGTCTTAGATCTTGAAGACTGAAACTCGTGCGTAAAATGTTGAACGGCAAAGAAGCGCACCGCCGCTTTCAGCGCGCTGCTGCCATGACGCACGAGTAGCAGCCTATTATCAGGTCCTCCTCTGGACCCCAGGGGAGGGGCCGGGGATCCTCAGCATCACTGGCACAAGGTGCGAGAGCTTAAAGACCACGCTGCGTCTGTGAATATCGATTTTTAATAGATAAACTTTGACCGTGCGCGTTATATTTTAGGAGTAGGAATAATTTCATCGTTCTAAAGATTTGGGCCTACTTTATACTTACAATTAGCATAGTGTTGCAGCCTGAATGTTTTAGGACGAAATAGAAGTTACAAAATGGTCAGTGTGAAAACACAACTCAAGACGTTGCTTGTGAATTACACCTTTATGACATTTAACACAAAAGAGTTTGTATCTTTAAAAGTTAATCTTGCTTTAAGGCTGAGCACTGATACTGGTTTTCCTAAAATTATGTATCTAATCCCTTTTATTGTTAAATTTTGCATATTAATGTAACGATCACAATCACATCTAATATGTTTTACAGGATAGAGGACCAGTTTTTAAACACCTTTAATAACATTCTTCAAAGTTCAAAGAAAATGCAGACAAAGTATCCAATAATTTCTCCTTTTTGAGGCCCATCCTTGCTCTGCCATGTGGACAATATGAGGTTAATTTAAGAATTAGGGAAATTGCTGACACCTACTCAACATGAATACACCGACAAGCTGTCTGTATGGGTCAAGCCACTGACAAACATCACAAACAACACTGAATGTGCTGCTTGCATTCATATGTAGGACATTTAAAGGTGTCCTCAAGAAAAATTTTCCTCTGCTTTGATGTGCAAAGTGTTTTATCTTTTAAATCCAAATCACATTCACATCAACTTCAAATCTTATCTGTTGTTTTACTCTGATGCTCTTTCAGTCCCACTTTGTCCCCTCACTGTGCTTGCTTTTTGACACATCTAAAGGGCTGATTCTGAATGTGAGCCATGCCCCAGGTCGCCTCTCCCACAGTGCTCCGGACAGACAGGAGGAGACACACACATACAAGCACATGTGCACGCGCACACACACACGCACACACATACAAACACACACATACACACACAGATCTACAGACAAACCAGGGTCAGCAGAAGGCCCTGTTGGTCCCAAGCCACGGGAGGAACTGAACCCGACACTGCTGGTGATGTCACGACTGCCACAAGCCCTAACTGAGGATTGATTGGCTGAGTGATATTCTAAGAAAGCAGCATTGTTATTCATTGTGGTTGAATAATCATCATTATATACTCCAAGGTGTTTCGACTATTTCAAGAAGTAGCCTATGTTTTCTTTCATTCAGCATTCTATAAAACATATCAGGTAAAAGCCTTAAGTCATCCTGCTCCTCGTTCCCCCTTTGCTTACAAGTCATGGTTCAATCCTGTATTGTGCAAAGACTAGCAGCAGGAGTGGACCATCACATTTGGTGCTCAGCGTGGGGGCGGTCAGGGGGCTGTCATGTTCCAGCTATCCCACCGAGATACACTTCTGCCTTTCTGTAAAGATTTGGTGTTTCCTCATTTACATTTGCAAATGAGATACTGTTTGGATGGATTTGTACTGTGTGGCTATCTTGCTATACGTCTCCTTATCAATGTGGGTAGTGGATAAGCCAATTTGCCAATTAGTCTGGATGAGATAAGATAAGACGAACACCCTAATGTAATGGTAATGAGACAATGTGCAAAATGGGAATGTAGTGATCCAACAACTTTTTTATAAAATACTGAGAGTGCAGATTTTTATTAGGCACCAAATGTCAAGCTCTGATTCAAAGTTCACACAAGATATTCATCTTCCCAAAGTCTTTGTCGGCCAAGAACCATGACTCTTCCAAATCACTTCTTATTTGATGAGAACTTGTTGAAGACCTTAGCCAAAACCAATTAATGTCCTGCTCCGAGCACATCCTAGATCTCAGCCAATCTGTAGTGTCAGGATCTGCTGCCCACCAATCTGCTGTGCCCCACTAACCCCAAGTCACCACAACACTATGTTTTACTGTATGGACAAAGTTACTTCTGCGGTGAGTATATTTCATAATAACAACAGATTTTATACTGGTCAGATCTGCACAAAGGATGGTCCGTTAACTTTAGGTATCTTTGAGCAAAAATAGCACCCATAGTGGAATAAATGGCGGATGGATAAGTTTAACGCCACACTATGAAACATTTCAGACAAAGTGATACCATTTCCATGGAGACAAGAAAAGACAAGTGGTGGAACCTCTACCTATATAGTTACACCGTAGTTAAAAGAAAAAAAGAATGAAAGAAAGAGAGGGAGCTGATCCTTCTCTTTTATCATTGAATTTTAGCTTAAAGGTACACTGCATAACTTTTCTGGTGGAGGGTGGACCTACTTTTCTCCATCGAGATGTCATTGCTTTGCTTGAAATGTACCATGGTATTACATTAAACATATCAATCTATCATTTATCCATTACGGGTGTTTCTATTGCTCAGAAATACAATAATTCCTCTCAGAATTCTCAGAAGAGTAGTGACTCTGAATAATAATAGTAAATAGAGTAATGCTGTAACCTGCGTGTATCCTTTGTGATAAATAGGTTTAATCTATATCATGGAACATTCTAGACAAAGCAATAATATTTCCATGGAGATGAGCTGGTGGCAGATCTTCTACTAGAAATGTTATACAGTGCACCTTTAATATAAAATGCTATGGATCAGATTATATTGTTCCCAATAAACAATAAATCAGTGCACTGGTGTAGCACTAAATTCTGTACCCTAACTACAAACTATGTGTTCTCTATATGAACAATGCACATCACAGACCAACCCAATCCGACGTTCTTGAATCAGGGCTGTTCCCTTCTCTAGTCAGCTCCAGTGGTGTGGAAGAAATCTCGCATTTGTCCGCCTAGGAGCAGCCTGGACTAAATCTGCTGACTGCTGCATCACGTTATGATTAACAATTTAAGCACCATCCCCTATTTTTCTCATTGTTATTCTATACAATGACTGTAGTAAAGATAGGACACAGCCATGGCACGTGCGCTTCATTAGATCCATTGATTTATTGTTTTGTGTGCCTGTTGTCAGTTTCCCCAAAGGTAATTTACAAGCTCTTTATGGTTCAGAGGTATAAGCCAGAAAGCTAATTAATCAGCTTAGTTTACAAGTTTGGAAGCATAAATAGAGAAGCTGTAACACGATTTGTCACTGAAATTTGTATTTATCACAGATTAAAAGTGAGCAGGTACAAGAGATAAGGTTATTTCTGAAAATCGCATATGACTTATTTTAGTCGTTCATTTTGAGTTCTAAAATTTTGCAATCAGTTTATTCATTAGCAGCAACTCTGTAAAAACAAAACTTTACAAAAATCTTGTCAACCCGTTTCATTCAGCATTTTTTCATGTTTTATCAAAATGAACATAAAGCTATTTTTCAGTTTTTCATGTATATTTTCAACAGTTGCACATCTGCCTGGACAGATTAATGCTTCCATCCTGCATGCCTGCTCTGCTCTTGATACCAATACCAGCTTGTGGCCCCGTGTCTTCATATATATTAGAGTGTTACTAGTAAGTCCATAAACACTTTTCCCTCAGATATATTTTCTGTCTAAAAATACCAGTCAAACCCAAATCTTCCAATGCTATTTTTATTGAGTGACCCAAATCTGCTCCATTTCTCACTACTTTAAATGGCCCACTCGTCCCAGTCTGCTGAAAAATGACTTGGTCCTCAGTCTTGCAGTCAACAGGACTTGACTTTAATTGGCTTTTGGGGCTGATATGTGAATGCTGTTTATGGGTTAAGTGCATCTTAATCAGGGCCCTAATCCACTCATTAACACAGAAACATGAGGTGTGGAGAGTGGCACGGAGAGCTTGATAATTGAGATGGTGCCGTACACTCCTCCTCCCTCTGCACCGAGGATGTGTGCATATGCTTATTTTAGCAGGGCCTTGCCATTCAGGAGAACTAGGAGAAGAAAAAAGAAGGAACATTGTCAAGATGTTGTTAAAGTTATTGTCAAAAACTTTTTAAATAGATGTATTTTGTTCATTCTCTTAAGGGCTTGTAGGTGTACTTAACCTAGTCTAACAAATGGGAAACACTCTGGGCTAGTGAACTTAAGTATATCTGGTATTTTATTTGTTTGATAAATGTGTTCCCCCAATTCCAGTGGATGGTAACTATCGACAGTTTAGTTTTATAGGTCTATTCTTTATCTTGTTCACCATGTCTAAAATAACATGATCAGTCTTCTAAGCACAGCCTTGTAAGATAGAGAACCTAATCTATTTCCATTAAGCCTTGAAAAACTGTCGAGTTCGTTACTGTTAGAAATGGCTATATATAATTTGACAAAGACAGTAAGAAGTTAACTTTCCCTGCTCTTTGGGCTGATGAAATATTTTAAAAAAAAAAGGTTGACCAGTAGAGTAAAAGATTGTGATAAACTTACAATCACTATTTTGGTATTTTAAACTATATATTTGTATTGGGGTGCTGATTGTAAAACAGATTGTTATTGTTTCCCGAACACAAGTCTTCCATAGCAGCAGTACTCCTTCCTGTTGCTCAGCTGCCACTTTCTCACTGAGTTTTTCACGCTGTATATTTTAGCACCTATCGCAGCATGAGGCCTGTGCTTTCCGAACCCCCATCCCTCCATCCCTCACACACACTTCTAATGCACAGAGCTTCGAATCAACAAGCTTATATTGAATAAACACTGCAGTTTTTAGATGAAAGTTCTGATTTGCATCATCCTTTTGTGGTGCATTTTTCACCAATTTTAGTGTCATTTATTTGACATAAACAAACACCTACTGATCCTCTAACAACACTGCCAATAGCTCATAAAGGCTTCCATGTGTATTACAAATAAAACTGGAATAAAAACATTTATATTGGCTAATGGGGCCTATAAAACATGTTCATTTGATTTAGCCATTGTAGTATAGTTTCAATATACTGTAACACCATGTTTTAGGCTGAATTATCAATAAAATTAAATCTGTTTGAAAAAAGTAATTTACAGAATAAACATACATCTTGGCTTTATAGTAGTCCTAGTATAAATAAAAATGTATGTGTTAGTGTGTTGTTAAAAATGTACAATATTTTGATATTTTCTAATGTGTTTTGGATTGTTGAAGGGGACGATGCCAATAATGTACATTGCCCTGTAGGGTCAAGTGGTTTATTGTATGAAAGTGTAAATGCCCTGATAGTTTTACTGAAAGCCAAGAGTGAACACTCCAAAACACTCCTGATAAAAGTGTGAAACATTTACAGCCAGAGCTCACTCCCCACTCCAGAGGTCAGAGGTTAGAGAGTGTATCTTAGGACAAGCAATACCTCTGAAGCAACAATAAAAATGTATTTTAAATCAAATTTATTCAGATTTCAGAAGGGGAAATATAAAGGAATTGTCAATGCATATAAAGTATATAATACAACTCACTCCACGCTGTCAGACTGGACACTACTTTTAGTAGCAAAAGTGAACAGACAAAGCAGTTTCTACATAGTTTTTTTTTTTAACTTTAAGATATGAAACTTCTCTTTTATCCATTAAAAACGATCGATCTTTGCTTTCTGCGCCTGATGGGTTTTTCAGTCATAATGGAAAATCTCCTCTGCCATTTCTTCCTTAGCCCATTCTTTATTTGTAGTAATTATAGGAGAGGTAAAAGATGTTTTTCTCCTTTCTCTTCTTGTCCTCCTCCCTGCCTATCTTTCCTAGCATGCATTCAGCCGCTCTCACCGCTGCATTCTTATTAGGGACATCTCTGAAAGGCACTCCGCAGCATGTGGCGTCCTCCCTGACCATTCGTACGCATCTCGCTTTTTGTTGGCATTAACGAGGCCGAGCAAGCTAGAAGGGTAGCTTTTTCAACAGGTACAAACTTTTCCCTTTTTAGATAATTAAGTGCATTCAGACACTCGATGTAGGCTGAAGGAGGAAAAAAACTTGATCAAAAGACAAGATGTTCTTTTTGGTGTTGTTTAGAACTGGGGTCTATACCAAACTCCTATTCAAATGGTACAGACTTCATTTCAGCTAAGGTCTGTCCTACTCGTCTTTTTGATCAAGATGGACCATGTAATGAGCTGGTTATTGTGGAATGGTCAAAGGTTTTGGTGGATTAATGAACAGAAGAAAACACAAGACATTCTGAATACTATTCCTTGCCTTATGCTACCAGAAGCCCCGGGATGCCAGCTTGAAGAAGGCCTCCTCCATACATTGCCATCTCTTCTCTTGTTAGAAGGGGCATAAAGCAGAGCCAAAGGGGAAAAGTAATTTTCTTCTCCTCCCGTCTGCCCATTCTTGTGCTGGGTTCCTTCCCCCTTCTTCCACACTACTTTCATAAAGCTTATAATTATCTTGGCGAGAAGTCCTTGTGTGTGAGCGAATAGGTTTTTGTGTCCCCGACTCTCTTCTGCCTCTGCTGTTTCAGAAAAGAGAAAAGTTGCATTAACATTTGATCTTGCCTTTACAAATGCACAGAGAGAGCACATGTGTTCCCTCTGTCAAAAATACTCTTGACTACCTTAGCAAGTTTTAGGTTTTGTTAGAACTGACCAAATGTGTAGCATGATAAATGTATGCACATTTGCAATGTATTTTAGAAATGTTAAAAGTCATTGCATCATTGAGCAAAGTGAAAAAAAAGTATATCACAGCATATAGATCATAAATATTAATTACTATTATCAATGGAAAAGTATTGTAAATATTCAGAATACAGCACTTTTGAAAGTGAACATGTTTCAAAATACATTTTGTAATGTGATATATGTTTTTTTTGTTGTTGTTGTTTTTTTTATGATGATGATATATAATATCAACTAATGTTATAAACTTCATATTAGAACAAAGCGGCTGATCCAACCTTTTCAGCCCATAATGAAGACCCTGGCAGCAGATAGTGACCCCCTCCTTAGTCCTTCTGACCTCCATCCCCTCCTCTCGGCTGATTAGTCCTAATGTAATTTTAATTAAAAACTCTGGTGTCAAAGGCTTTAGCCTGCCTGAGAAGTGACTACAGATTGTAGCTCAGTGGCACAGCTCTTCATTTGCTTCAGAGGAAATGCATTCTGACATTTCTCAGGTGGTGCCAACACAACCAGGCCATGTTCAAAAAAAGGTCTAAAATGCAGGTTTTAGAATTTAATGAAAATAAATCAAATAGAGTAATAGCCCTGTATACTAATAGCAACTGTGAGAGAAATACACAAATATTTCAATAGTAAGGACCACAATGAGGGGCAGGTGTATCAAAAATCAAAAACTCTTGCAATGTTCAGAGCTAAACGCATCTTCCTAAAGAATTACTTTTAAAAAAATTACTAAAGAGTACTTTTTTTTTTGTAGCCTGGATAGATAAAGAGGCTGTATAAAATATATATAAAATACTTAAATGATAACATATACAAATAGAAAAACTTTTAGCTTTTTATTACTTTACATAAACTAAATGAAATACTCAATTAGTTACTTGCATCCAACCAAAGATGAAATGTATATATAAATGGTATAACATGGTAATGGTAAACACACTCACCACCATTAGCCAAAAGTGTGTTGCAGTTTCTTGACTTCTTGACATTGACAGGCATTTCACAGTGGAGAGCCACGTTAGGTCCTCTGCGACAGGCCGGAGCAGTGGAGGTCTGCCTGTGTCTGCCTGTAATCCCCTCACCCAGACCATCGGATCGTCTGCTCCCCACCGACCCTGAAGAGGAGTCCTGCCGCTAGGGTTTAAACACTCTCAAAATCTCATCTCCACACTCCATCTGCCAGCCAAAACAGCCCCGCAACAAACTGACAAGGAGCAATGAGAAGCATCATTCTGCTGTCTGACTGCTCTGAAAAAAGAGTGGAGATTAAAGCTTCAGTTGTTTTTATAATATACTTTTAAAATTACTGCTTGTATAAGAAGCATTACATACTCACTTCATAAATATATATTTGAAATAGACATTTAGTACATTAAAATGAATGCATGCAAATGGAGCTGTGAGCGGGGAGTGAAAGGTGTGGTATACCCTTTGAAGTACAATTTGAACTGAAAACACTGAGGCAGGCGTGTTGTCTGATATGCACCAAAGCTCTGCCATCGAGTAACACAAATGTGTGCTTTTTTGTTTGAGTTCTCAATCATTGTCTGATATTATGCTAAATTAAATTTGAATGTTGAGAAGCCCATTTGTCCAGACCAATAACTGCAGCCAATGTACACATAGCATGAAATTAATTTATATATATATATATTTTTTTTTTTATATTTTCTTTATTAACTGTGTTGAATAGAATATAATCTAAGTATATTTAAGTATATAATAAACAACTTCTGAAAGCTTCTTTACTTTGGCTGTTAAAGGCAAAACTGTAAGACTTTTGTATAAAAATATCAATAAAAAATTTAATTAAAATTAATATTAGTGTAATTAATACAAATCAATTATCAATGGTTACATTAGCTGTACAAAGGTGTCAATGACCCTTTGACATTCTCGCACAGGGGCCTTGTGTGTGGACAGTTGGAGGAACTGGTGGTGTCCCGGGTCACTGAGGCATGTTCTGAAAGGGTTTAACTCTGCTAACCTCCTTCTGCCAGGTTCAGCAGCCCGCTGCTCGGGTTAGATTGGATCAGAGCTGGAGCCCCGGACTCTGCCATAACTAACAGCATGCATCCTCCTCAGGCAGAAAGAGGGCTCCGAGAGGGCCAAGTGGGCATTCACATACTTCACCCTGCATGTGACAAAGAGAAAGCATAAGTGATAGGTGATGTATACCATTTAAAATACAACATATTTAAACAGGTAAATTAGCCTATATGTTAGTAAATCAGGAGTGACATTTTTTTAAATGAATTAAATTTGTATGTATTTTTTGTGTTTTGGCTATTACATTGTACTGTAGGGTATGTTATGGATCGATTCATTTAGGTAACTAACAAAGTTTGACAATAAATCCAAAGAATTTAAAGAAATGGTTTGCACATTATGTTGTAATATTTTTCAGGGTCAAAGACAGGTGTCGGCCTGAGGTTGGTGTGAGCTTATCTACAAAGGAAGCTGAAGGTGAGTTCAGAGAGCTGTGAGAACCTGGGGCAGACAGACAGAGCAGGCATCCTCTCACATCACACTGACTTACAGTGAGTGGGTGAGTGTGAATCGTGATCGTTGGATGTGTGTGGTTTGGATGTGAGGGAGGTGTTTGGTGCAGCAGTCTACAGTAGACCTATGTCTAGGCTATGTGTGGCCTTGTCTGACTGCACAAGGGGGCTCCCAGCTGATAGTAGATGTAAGTTGTAATTTTTTTTATTTGTTTTGTTTTGAGTCAGATTGGTCTTTCAGCATGCAAGCCTTCATGTGGAAACAACACATGTTTTATAGTACATCATTTTAGCATTAAAAAAAACAAAACAAAACAAAAAAACACTTTGTTTAGCTTGATCATTGCAAACGTTCAAATGAATTCATTAAAACCTTTGAGTTTGGGACTTAGCTGGTCAAATCATTTGGAACATTTCTCATCAGTTCATGCAGGCACATTTCTCAGGCTTCTCACAACACTTGACATCAGACTCTAATTCAGAATCTGATCAGAGAATTAACCTTGATTTGTTAATATAACAGGGCAGTTCTCATGTGGTAAAGGATTATCAATATAGAAACTCAAACACACACGAGTGAAACAGGGACAAAGGTCTCAGTAGGGCACATAGACATCGTACAGAGGCATGAACAGAGACATTCTACAGAAGCCATATATCCAGTGTGATGATGATATTAATGTCCTATTTAATTTTCCATAACCCATATATCACATATATATAGCAAAGTATTGATATATTCTACTCTGACATCTCATAATTTTCTTCAGCTCAAGTATTTGGATAAAATACCATAAAATTCAGTGTGCAAAAAATATTTACATTTGTTTTCAATTAATATGATTCTTTACTAAATATATGATTATAAAATGTTTCAATATACTGACTGGTTTTAGAGAAAACAACTTGGCTCTTCCTTTCCCAAATTGATCTGTACAGAGTGAACCGCAGAGATTGCACTAAATCACTGATTGCACTGACTCTCTGTTGTCTCTGAAGCAGGATGAAATCTTCAAAGCTGCTCCGGCACATAAACCACATGACCAAAGTTTGAGAGTTTTGATGGTAAAGCTTGCTTTTGGAGGATGAGTAATCAGTTTTGAAAATAAAATTTGATAAAATCTTGTTTAGGAAAACTGTAACCCTGTTTAGGATTCTGTCTGAGCTGTTTAGCAAATGTTAATCTTCAATAGCTATAAAAAATGTAATATTCAATTAAATTAAATTGCAGCCATAGAGCCAAAGAGATAAAGAAAGAGTCAAAGGCTGTTCTCTCAAAATGCATTTTCTGCCATAAGGACATAAGGATCACCCATTTAAGTAGCATTTAAATACATCAAACTTTCCAATCTAGTACAACATTCGTTTTAGCACATGTTTTGAAAATAAGTTTTCTCTGATTATTAGATTCAAACAGGTATCTGAACAGGGGCACAGATGATCACATAATTTGGGACATTTCTCATCAGTTAACACAGTTCTTTCTCAGAACACTTGATGCACCTCATTCAGAAACATGGATGACCATTGAATTCTCCTTGGTTTTTTTTCAATGCTACAGGCCTGTTCACACATGGTAAATGACTTTGGACTGTTAGTTTCCATATAGAAACTTAAAAATAACAGCAAAAAAAACCAAAACCAAAAACAAACAAACAAAAAAAACAATTTGTGAACACCAGAAATGTACATATGTACATGAATTAAACAAGGAGAGGGGCCTCAGAGAGAATGGATAAATTTAGACATACATACATCCAGTGTAATGTTGGTGTAAATGTCTTCCCTGATTTCCAGAACACATACTCTCTCTCACTCTCTCTCTCTCTCGCTCTCTCTCTCTCTCTCTCTCTCTCTCTCTCTCTTCTCTCTCTCTCTCTCTCTCTCTCTCTCTCTCTATATATATATATATATATATATATACAAATTGTATTTTAAATTTTTTTTTTTAATTTTATTTTACAAAATACAATACTATTCTAGACTCAAAATCATTTGTGTGAACCCCGGTGTCAGACTGCTCTAAACCAGTGATTATTTGTGGTCCTTAAGAGCAGGGCAAAGGCTTTTGAGCTGCTCTGTCAAATGAATGAAAGAGCACAGAAAACACGTGATGAAAGATTGAGAATTTGATAGTAAAAATTGGTTTTGGGAGATGTTTAATTAGCTATGAATGGAAAACTGCATTTTACCGAGATGAAATCTTGTGTTTATAACAATTCTGTTTAGGATTTTGGGTGAGCTGTTTGACAAATGTCAATATTTTTTAACAGAAATGTGTCAAAGCAATTGACAAAAAACTATAATAAGGTTTTTACAAAATATACAGAAGGATTAAAAAAAAAAAAAAAAAAAAATATATATATATATATATATATATATATATATATATATATATATATATATATATATATATATATATATATATTACAGTTTTAACATTAGATAAATAAATAAATATTTTTTTTCAGTGAGATTTAGTTGACTCAAATACTAAATAAGATATTCAAAGTTCCTCCTGTATAATTTCACTAGGCTATCTCACAAAGCTAAATGAAGCAAGGAATATAAACCTGGCTTCATAGATTTTTTAAGATTCATATGTCAAAAAAGTTGGTCAGTTTTGGCTATTACACATAAAACGCCTTATTTATTTTTTCTAAACTACATAAGAAGTTTCAAATTCATATATTAGCTTTTCCCCCCATTCACTTGCAGAGTCTCATCTAAGGAGACAAGCTGTCTCGGCCGAGGTCAATAAGATCTACTTGCTTATTATGCTATGAGCCTAGCCTGCTTGTACAGATTTAGTTTGGGCTATATAATGCATTGCACATAGATGATAAATAAAATAGAAATGTAAACTGTCAGATTGATCTAAATATGCTCAATAATTCTAGGCCAATTTTAGAAGCACAGTTAGGCCCAAGCAATACATCATATTATTGCCCAGCAGAAACGGGCAACATAATGCACAAAACGAAAACATTTGCAGGTGTTTCTGGGAAATGTAGTCTCCCGTCGCATCGAACTACGTCAGCGGAAGTGTTTTGGTGTGTTAGCTAAGAGCTCAGTAGCATGTTTGTAGGTCATAACGATAAGTAAAACATTTAACAACGTAATGGAAAATACCAAACAAGGTAATATATGTTTATTCAGAGGAATATCTCCTTTGAACGTACGTGTTTGTGTCGCGTGTGTCCAGGTCTGTGGATGTGTGCACATGTGTGAGTTTATCATGGGAGGAAATATTTAAGCATTTTAAATGTTTACATCGGTTTAACGCTATGTCTGTAACTGAACCAAGCTACGACACGACACAACACATTGTATGTTTAGTAGAATACATTATCGACACACGCATATCTGTTGGTGCTGACAGCGGACTGACGAGGGTAATGTGGCATATCTGTGTCGTAATTTCTCCGCAGAAGAAGTTCATCTGAGGCATGTGGAGCTGGACGTCCTCATCCCGAAGATGATGAGAGAGAAAGCGAGGGAGCGCTGTGCAGAGCAGGTTCAAGGTGAGGCACGAGTAGGGAAATCATTTAATTTAAATTATGAATATGTTGTACACACGTGAAGCTTAGGATAGGTTTGGCATGGTCTAATAATGTATTTACTATAAAATGTGTTCATCCTGGCTGTGCTCAGCTAATGAATAAGTTCACTAGTGTTTAGTTGATTTTCTGAACACTTGAATGACAATAAATATGGAAAGTGTGCATTTAAACATTCTGGAAAAGATAGCTTCATATTTGCTTGGTTTCACATGACATCACAACATTTTATAGGTCAGTAATATTTAATGCAGGCAGGAGGCAACTAAAATACAGACAATTTTTGGAACATCATTTTTTTTTCCTTTTGGGTATTTCTCATCAAAAAATCTATGTAATCAATAGGGAAATCTGGCCTGTGACATGATCACATTCTTTAATCTGAATAACAGCAATAATAAACCATGCTCTTTTTCACTGGGTTGGTGATATCTGGGGAATGGCCTAGGATGTCTTTGCTATCAATAGATAGAAGAGTGTTAAATTGACTTTTTATTCATGTGATTGTACCTTAAATGTTTTATTGAAGTAATAATCTGACTAAATGGGTTAGTGTTCAGTACCTAAGTGCAACTGTTTCAAACAGTAGATGGGACATACATACACACATGTGAAAGTTGTGAAACAAATCTGACACATGCTGTTGTGGGTATTGCAAATAAGGAGTACATGGACGTGTGGCTGAGGGCTGGCTCCTGCACGCGCTCACACACACATACGCTGCACTTGCAGACTGTTGAGAGGCTGGCAGTGTGTGAGGGTGGAAACCCCCTCATATCACTTCTCTGTCATCCCACTCATTTTCACACCTCTGACCTCCACACTATTACTTCAGTGTGGGACACCAGTATACGCACATGCTTTCCTGTGTGAACCTGTTAAATTGTGTATTGTTACGTTACATTGGTTAACAAAGATTCTGTATACCATTGCTCACGTTTGATTGTGGTTTCACCTGAAATGACACATTTGGATATTTTTGTTTTCAAATGTTTTAAAATTTTCTGCATTTTAATATCCACTCCATGTTTGCAAGAAATGAAAAAATAAAAATACATGCTTTTAAGGTTTTGTTTTTACTCGAGCAAGCTATCAAACTTATAATTATACTGCATTATACATTTTATGGGATAATTGAATGGGAAATTTACTTAGGGAACCTTGAGGTGCACAGGGTCATGATTGGACTCCGTAATGTGTAAAATTTTCTTTGTAATTTATGAAATGGAAACTGGTGTTCTGTTTTACATTGTTCCAAAAAATTAAGATTTGCACTTACATTTTGGCTAAACTGAACCCTGACTGTGATCAGTTCTTAAAACCCAGTCGCTTAATATTCAGAGCCTCTTTATATACATTGTCCTGTCCTCCTTCTCCTCCTTTTTTTGTGTGTGATCTGAAAGCCGCCCCTCAGCAGCCGTGCACCAGGGGACGGAGCTGAGGCATGCACTGATTAGATTAGTCGCACTGTTCTGCTCCTCTAAATTGCTTTTGCACTTGTTTTTTATCCACATTTGCATCCTGATGAAAGTGTCTGTGTGATGACAATACAGATTCCACTGATAAAGCTAATTAAGAAGTCAGCGGCTCAGAGGGGACAGAGGCAGTGCTTTTAATCAAAGCCTTGAGAAAGAGCGTGCTAAAAAGGTGCAGACTCAAAGTCTTCAACACCTTGTTTACAGTAAGAAATGTACACTTTGAATCTGGATCACAGGGCGAGCCAGAGCACCAAGTCGCTAAAGCACCCTTGTGGAGGCGCCGCTGGCATCGTCTCAAGTGACAACTAGGCTTTCATTAGCATCCATTTAAGAAGATTTAGACTTACAGAGGCTTTTGGATATGAATGAAATGTACAATAAATATTAAAGGTGTTTGAAAATGTTTTGCTATAAACCTATTTTGTTGAATTTGATGTGCTGTTTTTCAGCTTTCACCCATTGCTGTAAAGAATCTGGTTTCTTAATGGTGTTCAAATGTCGAGAGGAAAATGCTGCCTTAAAAGATTGTCTTATAAAACAGTACGTATTTACATGACCAATTATAAGCTAAAGACATTTTTAAAAATTTAATGTTTTTCTCTCTTTTACTACTACAGCTATCAAGACCCAGTCTTTTTTGAAGAGTGTAAGAAGGAGTATATCCAGGAGAAGTTGGAATTTGAAAGGACTGGTATCCCAAGCAAGCAGAGAAAACAAAAATTGCCAACTAGCATGTGATGAGAGTTCATGATCTGAGTTGAAACCTTTAATGTATAATATGGGCAGGGGCAGTGATCAATGGCAGCAAAAATATTGATATTCTAATTATAAAAATAAGAATTTACTTTGGACAATGACTGCAACTTCTTTCAATTTTTTGCAATATTTTGTGTGTTTCTTTTTTTTAAATTGACTACCATTTTGATGCTTGCTCATCTTTCAGCTATTTTACCTTGAAAAACAGGTATATTGAGTGTAAATGACAGATGTATAGTAAAATTGTGTGCTTCAATATTAATATTTTTGAGTTTAAAAATAAAGAGTGACTAATCTCATTGTGATGAAAGACTTTTGGATAAAAAAAAATAAATCTCACACAGATGTGCAAAAACAAGCAAAATTTCCAGCTATGTTCCAGTCCTGACACAAGAGTGGCCGCCCAATGTGGGTGCCTACTGCCTGCAACAGGTGACACCAGAATGAGCCAAATAATAAAATATACCCCAGTCTTGTGCAATTTGCCATTAATTTAAGGCTGCAATCACACAGGATCCTGGTTTGACCCTGGTGTGTTCCCAGTTTAGTCCTAATGTAAACTGGTTTAGTCCTAGTCCCAGTCTCGATATATGCATTCAAAACTAAAAGTGGTCATAATCTTAAATAATCTCATAGTCTCAAAATATCTATTTAAAATGTAAAAGCAAATTTTATGATTCATTAAATTTATTGTATTTACAAACAGTCTGAAGTGCAGTAAATTTAAAATATAATTCCATATCTACTATACATTGCATTTGGTTTGCAAATAGTTTACAGAAGTATGAAACTACTGCTGTAAATTAAAAAAACTAAAACAAGAATTTAACAAGACCAGTTACCGCGCCAGAAAAATCTTTTCAATATCATGGTACTTTGTGCTTTATGCACCAGTCATGAGTCACATTCAACACTGCATTAAATACACTGTCTTGCCATTATCATAGGCAGCTCTGAAAACCTCCAGAAATTACTTCAGCATTACATTAAAAGGAAAATGGTGGTTTGGAGTGCAAAACTGCATTTTGGCAGAATACTAAAGACCACCATATACATTTATACAATATACACATTCTTCTGCAGTCTATCTTTGATAGTATGCTAAATGTATCATATTTTACATCAGCACAAAGCACACTTAACACATTTCCTATTGTTCAAATTGTCCACAAACCTAAAAAAAAAAGATGCTCATGATCAGGAGTGCATGTGAAAATCTCACACAAGCTTTTAAAATGCACAGCATTTCCTCTGCAAATGTCTGTTATTTGGAAAACAACCTGACTGAATATTTTGTCAATGGCAGCTCTTAGGTTTTTGAACAGCTGAGATAAATTGTAAACAGCTGCATTTACGTATGTTATACACATTATTATAATCCCTTTGAATCGAGGCAGTAATTGTAGTCACATTTGGGCATGTCAGTTGATTGAACAGAAACACTTAATTGGTACTAATTTGTTATGTAATGAATTCTACAGTTATTGTCTGTTGTGTAAGTTAGTTACCTTTTTATGATTGTGAAATTATGAATTATGCATTACATGAGGATTTTCTGTAAAGACGCAAAAGACAGCAGGTTAAACTTCTTAGTCTGATCAGCAGAGCCAAAGCCCCCCCCCTTCCAGGACTGCTATAGTTATAGTGAAAGATCCTGCTGTGAGCAGGAGAGAGGGGCTCACATATGAACACACAATACACTGATGTGTTATTGACGTGTGGACAAACCTATAGTATGCATGCTTTACAGATGGTATGCATACATAGAGAAGATTGACAGATACAGACACTGATTCTGTTTAAGGGCATTAAGACAAGTTCCTCTGCCAAATGAGTCCACAAATAAAGAGCCGAGGAGCTAAATTAACCATAGTACACAGACAAAGTCATTACCTCAAAAAGGCCACTTTGGCCCCCATTGATCCCAACCAGTAGGTCCAGTTAATTCCAGCCCAAAGAGGTGTTTTGTCAGTTTAAGGCAGGCAAGGTGGTTACTGTGGCAGGGTTAAGAGTTGCTTATCATTTCACACAAATCTTCTCCTTGATGTGTGGACATTCGTTTGAATAAGGGAATCCGCTCAGTAGGGCTTAGCCCACTCTGTGTTGGGTGGGCTCCTGGGACTGCAGTGTCCCATTGAAGACGAAGAGTTGGAGTTGGAGTGTCCCTCCCAGAACAGAGCGTCACTGGGTTTGGGGGGGCTGGGGAATGACCTGGAGCTGTCATCCAGAGAGGCTTGGTTCAGAGGAGGAGGGGGCAGCACCACAGAGCAGGAGTCTGTGCCCAGCAGAGCCTCCCCTGAGCAGTACTGTGAGGGCCACGGCCCGTTATACCAGCAGTCCTCTCTCAGGCTGTCCGCTAGAGCGCCAGAGGACAGCCCCACAGGGGAGCGGCCTGAGCAGGAGGGGAGCGGAGGGGTGCATCGGGGCTGAGATAGTGGTGCCCTCGAAACTTGGTTGTTGTTCTTTTCCACATCATCCAGACATTGCACTGGGACTGTGGAAGTGACTAGAGACATAAGGAAGAAAAAGTAGATAAGATAGGATATCCCTCATGTTCTCATTACTGCTTTAAAACAAACATGTTGGTTATTCAAAATGAAAAACTGGTTTGTCTAAAATGTATGAGATTACATGTCAGGGACTATTTTACATGCAGTCACATGACAATAAGTCATTGTCAAGTCAGTAAACGGCTGAACTTGTACCATGGCTTCATAGACTTTAAAGTTACAACATAAAGAGTCTTCATGCAACTACTGAACCACAAAATCTATTCACTGTGTGAATATGACATCTTGTATTTTGGGCAGCATTCAAAAGTAATCAGAGAAAACTCAGTTGAACAAATCCAATCAAAGAAACCTCTGAGCAGAAGATAAGCCTTTCGTCTCCATAATTTCCATGCAAAAACAAATGTCCTAATCTCACATACACCATTGCTTTTCTATCAAATAATCATTTTGAGCAAATAATAAAGTTTAAATGACAGTATCTTCTTCAGTACCTCTCTTCCTCCACACATCATCTATCCATCCATCCCTGCCCGCTACTCTTCCAGGAGAGGGTCTCCTGAGTCTAGGATTTGAATAAAAGTGATTCCAAAGCAGGAACATTAGAAGAATACAGATGCACAATATGAACAAACAGACAGCCCCCCCTCTGCCCCTCCCAACTTCACTCTCAATTTCTTTGCCACAACTGCTTTTCTTCTCTCGCTCTATCTGCCTCATCTAAGTTACAGGATTAGCCTCTTATTCAGTGGAATAAATAGGCCAAGATTTATTTTCTTGCCATATTTCATACTAATTTTCACCTCCTGGTCTGCTCCTCTGACACAGCGAGGGAAATGACAACAATGGTAATATGTCATTGAATACATCTCTGAGCAATGGCAGAAGAACAGCCGCTTTCTTGACATCTTTTGTTAAAGTGTTTGAGTACTTTGATAAAATCTGCTGTCTTATCACACCTCGATATAAACTGTGTCAAAATCATACTCAGTAACAGTGACTTCTTTAGTTATTTCAAATTAATCATATTCCTCATATTTTTACAAACTTATTTTTCTGCAACAGAATAAAAATGCTGACATTACACCAACAAGAAGTATTACTGACACAAGACATGCTTTTTGAAACATATGCCACCTATCAAGAATTAGTTTAGTATCAATAATTCTAATATATTTATTAGACAGTACAGTGTAATGGTAACAAGTCAGAGAAAAGGGGACAATCAGTTATTGTGTTACACGATTTTGGAAATACAAAAATCTTATATTTTGTAATAAATTCCCATTATTTTGTAAAGACAAAAATTGACGGTATTCTGTAATATTTATACCTCGCACTGAGATGAATCATATAGAATAGTATGTAGTACTGAAGATTCCTCACCTTGTCTTAGTTTTCGTATCAATCCATTCTGGTGCTTTAGCTCAGAGTGGAGTCGGGACACTTCACCGCGCAAAGCTTCATATGTCTGCATGGCCTTCTCCCTGCACACAGATTTTAAAAACAAAATAATGCATTTGTTTAAGTTGCATATGCAAAAGACTTTATCCCTGTCAGATTTATAATACGTTTTAAAAAATCCTGCAGCACTTTAATGTAGCTTCAATGAAGCAAACTTTAAAAAATGTTTTGTATCCATAAAATAGTGCATGTAGTAATTTGTCAGTTATATTATTTAAATGCAATATTTATATATGTAAAATATACACAAGGCTGGAGGCTTTTTATGAAATGACAGCAATATCAGAATGTCATAAAATCCAACTGGTAATGTCTAACTATATATTGTATTATGGGATACAGTGTGATTCTCAGACAAATTTAAATGAGTGTGAGGTTTTAAGACATAAAAAATATAATGTTCTGAAAAAGATAATTAATTAAAAATCTTGGTGGAAATGGTAGTAGATGGTGATAGATAATGGTGGCAGAGCTGTATAGGGATGAAAATAAAAACTACACTTCTGTATTATTATATTATAAAAAGCAAACTTGGTTTTCATTGTTAATGCAAACACTGTTCTCAAATGTCTAATCCACACCTTTGACAAAAAATCTTATCACCACTTTTTCTTCCACACCTGCCATAAAATGGAAAATAGTGACAAAAACTGCACTATAGACTTTTCTGCAATGAGGTTTTAACACTGCACAAAAACGGCTGATGTTACCTCCATGAAACATTGGGGCTGGGGTGGATACATAAAATGATCATTGTTGTGATCAAAGTTTATGTATCTTATAGAATACACACACTACTTGAAGCTACACCATCCTCTGGTGGCCAAAGCAAACAACTACACTAAAGAAAACTCATATTCCTCATCTTTACACAGAACATATAAAACTATATACTATGTCTGCCACCTGCAGTGGACAGTAACTAGTTTGAAAGTAGTGTATTAAATGAGGTTCTATGACAGAAGGTGTAATCAATGTGAAGAATTCATAATAACAATAAATTGGTTCCAGAGCTGTATGTTTCCTTTTTTCAAAGTAACTTATAGTAATCAGTAATCAAATTAGAAAATTTGTGATCAGAGCAGTAATTACATTACTTTAAGGAGTAATCAGTAATTTTGGAATTTTGTGAAGAGTGGGCCAGAATAAGAAATGTCTACATTGTCTCAAAGTCAAGATTTGTCAGCACTATGAAAAAACTACAAAATATGGATTTGTATTATGTATGTATTACATGGTGGACAGTCTGGCCTTCCTGTAGGGCAGAGCTAAACTTGAATCGTAACAGAGAAATAAAAATGATACCTGGCATTAAATTTCACACCACTGCTCTGGTCTGTATCAGGTCCATTAGGCTCAGGGGGGTCCTCCTAAAAAAACATATTACAGTTTAACTAAAACATTGTTTGTCCAATAGTTCTTTCACATGAGAAACTCACCCCACTCCTCTCCAGTAGTCTGCTATTCTCCAGTGTAACCTTTTCCAGCTCTTCTTGTAGTTTATGGATCTTGAGCTCCGTGCTGACCCTGTCTACCTGCCAGTAGTCCTGTGGGCTGTTCAGGCTTTTCATCACTGGAAACAAAATAATATTGAACTTAAGTGTATTCAAATCCATGCCATTATTTTAGTTTGTGTTTTGCCCATCACACATAACACAAATAAAAAACATAAAACAACCAAAAAAGCCACTTTGTACTAAACTATACTATATTGGTCCATCTAATTCCATACAGTATTATTATGTATTATACATTTGACGATAATAATACAGATGTAGCCTGCACCTTGACTGGTCTCCATCTCTGTCCTCAGCTGCAGCAGCTCCAACTCTTTAGCCTGTAGCTGCTCTGTCAGTGTCCGCTCACTCTCACTCTTCTCCTTTTTCTGACACAAGACAGACGGCACAAATAAGAGCCAGGATTCCTTCAAGCAAACACTGAAGAATATTCACAATACAAAAACTACGTACAACTTGATTTATACAGCTAATGTTCGTAATAGTATTATAGTAGTATTACATAGTGTGTGTGTGTGTGTGTGTGCATGTGTGTGTGCATGTGTGTGTGCATGTGTGTGTGTATGTATGTATGTATGTATGTATGTATGTATATGTGTATATATATATATATATATATATATATATATATATATATATATATATATATATATATATATATATATATATATATATATATATATATACACACACAGTAGTAGTATATAGTAAATATAATATATAGTATATAGTAAGTATGATACAAATAAGCCCTGTTGTAATATTGTGGATTTAGATATTAGCTCCCATCTGATAAAATGGCACATAAATTGTATACAACCAATACATGTGACCTTTAGTATTCAAAATTGTTCACATTAGAATAGAAATCTTTAGGTACCAGTTTGTTGAGCTCCATCTGTAGATCCTCCTTCTCAATATAGATACCTCTGTATGCACTGAAGGCCTTGTTCACATACTGGGGACCCTCGGGTGGGAGTGCATCTGGTCTAAAAAGCTGCACATACAAAAGAAATCCACATGTGTAACATAATCAACTAATATTAATATAATATTAGTAATGAGTAATATACCAACAATTATCAGTTTTTGGAGTTACAAGCAGAAAAATTACCAAAATCAATTATAGTGGACCAAAATTCTGGAAAAATTTTAACCCAATCTTAAAACATAAGTGTAGTAACACTTACTATGCTGAACCTTTTGTCTCTATCTTGGCACAAGGTTTGGTTTGTGTAGTGTGAATGTAACAGCTCTGAGTTTCCTCTAGAGTCAAATTAACAATTTAGAACCAGTCCTAAACTTTAGTATGCAGTAAATATTATAATGAATCATGGTATTGTAAATAATGTATCTGGAGTAGATTAATTTAAATATATTTATTTGTTCTTTGTACTAACTATAAAAGCTTTGCTAAATTTGAACCTTAGTGTCCAAGAAATGTGTTCCTATTGTCATGGCAAACATTAGAGACAACAGCTAAGTCTGATAGTCTGGATTTTAGGAACATGAAATGAAAATATCCAAACCTTGGTGCAGACTACAAGAGTCACATAAACAAATGTCAAATAAGACTCGGATTACTCTCACTTCTCCCTCATATCCGTCTCTTTCTGTTTTGATATCAAATATTTTCCCACCACAGTATACAGTAATACACTGTAAAAGAGCTTGGCAGCTCTACTTTTTTCTCCTACTTATTCAGACAAAGCTGAGTAATTTCTCATTGTTTTCTGACTTTGACAGTTGGCCAATTATAGTAATGCTGGCATGCCACTTGTCCCATAGGCTAATTTAGCTTTCTGTTGTATTGAATGTACTGATTTACAAGAACTCACTATTGCCAATCAGTGAACTCACAGTTTCCAACCAGTGAGTTTTCAATGAGCAGACAGTAGGCCTATATATGGGAGTGACATGCATGAACATGCATTATCTACCATGGATCAAAACATTTATTTTAAGTCCCAGAACATTGTGGAAAGGTTTCCATCTTTGTTTCTAGCTCACTTTTCAAAATCTTACTTTTTATAGAAGGATACATGGCATTCTTGTCCAGACTGTCTTATTTATTAAATGTATACCTTATCTTCCAGCTGTTTACTCTCTTCCTCAGCAGTGTATTCTCCTTCTCAGTGTCTCGGAGCCTCTTCTTGATGTCCTCGTAGGCTGTGACCAGAGCAAAATGAGAAGCGACGGATTCATCGCCAGCACACACCGAGACGGGACTCTCTCCTGTTGTAGTGGAGGCCGTCTCACATTTAAGGATGCATATATCATCATCCACAGCCAGGGGCTCCATGTCGACAGAGACCTACAGCGTAGCAGGTAGAAGACCTGTAGAGGACAGTTGTACATTTTTATCAGCGAGCAATTCTTTTAGTGTCATGTGTGAAAGCGAAATCAGTCATGTGAATTTACTGCAAGGCAACTACTCTACCCCCATCATGACTTGCAAGCATAATCATCCTCATATTTGGAAAATATTGTTACATGTTACAATGAAATAAAAACTAGTTATATAGATGTACTGAAATGTGTAATTTATACATTTATTGATAATTATTCTTCACCATATTGTAATTGTTTTAACCTAAAATGCATCGTGTCTTTTCTTTCTGTCTTACGGAATTTCCTGTGTTTCTGAACTACAGTAACAGCACCTTCCTTACCGCAAACGTTTTTCCTCCTAAACAATAGATACTTAAATGATTTCCTTTAACAGATAAAAATAAAACATTATATACTACAGAGTAATGAAGAATATAACCTTTGACCAGTCTACCAAACGAAAGTAAAGAAATACAGAGCGGCCATTTAGGTTTCGTTTTCCTGTCAGATCAGAGGAGCTAATCAATCAATAAAGTAATCTATGCAGTTAAAACAATACCATATTTCCTCTATATGTAATATGTTTCTTTTACGATGCTAACAACATACAGTTCGCTTCCGCGTTCTTTGTTTACAAATTGACATAGCCTACATGACAAAATCGAACATATAAGATATTAACTAAAAATCAGCGTACAAAGGGTACAATTGAATCCTTGTTATTGAATAGCTGATGTGTTTTGTGTTTGTTTTGATGATAGCGCTTAGCTAGCGTTTAGCTTTCGCTGTTTGTGACCCAGTATCTGAAGCAATAACATTAAAGGTTTCACTCGTATACAAACCGTGCTGGATGCCGTTGTCCCTTATCACACCAATGGCCTAAATGAATAAACACCTATTCATCAAGAAATACGAGGGTTTTAGCGAGGAAAAACAAAGAGCACAGACTGAACATTCGCTCGGTGTCAGCGCTGACAGGTGATGATGGTGAGGAAACAAAAACTTCCGGGAGTCCTTTAACTGCACAGGGATTTTCACAATAAAAGCCAAATATTGATCTCCTACATCCGCTAACGTCGTGGTGATTTTTTATAGTTTATAATTATTATATTTTAATTCAGGACTCCTCCTCTGCCTAAAATAGAGCTAAATAATAAGAAAACAAACAAAAAGTTATTGCAAGGAAATTAATAAATAATTTTAATGAAAGGCGCCACTATTTTTACGCCAAACAGCAGACAGTGCGTGCACCCAACTTGGCAGGCTCGTCGTCAGAGGTTTTAGCTACATTTGTTTTTTTTAAATTTATCATGCGTAGGATTGGAATGATTTTTACATTTATCATGTTATGTTTTTGCTGGTGGATTGTGATATTGGCTTAGGTGTGAAGAAAAAAAAAATTATCAGGTCTCCCTCTGAACTATGAAGAAGCAAAGTATTCCAAGATGTTCTGAGGATTTAAGGACTTTAACGCGGGAACGTAAGAATATACATTTTGTAGAATTGCTTGCACGTGTGATATTTTGATCACTTGGTTTAAATTATGTGGACTTAAAAAAACGGAAACGTTTCTTTTCTTTACAGTTTTAACCAATGCCCAGACACTTCTGGAGGAAATACAAGAGATAGTTGAACACTGCAATTCCATTCGCACTTTGCGATTACACAAGAAGGTAGGACTACAAGGGGACTATTGCTATTTAATAATAGTATTATTCACGGCTTCAACCAGCCAACTATAAGCAGATTTATTTTTTGTTTAGTAGGATCACTTGCCTTTGACCTGAAAAACTTTTTTTTTTTTTTCCTTTTATATATAAATATCATACTACACATTGCCACTGCTGATACGCAATAAAAAAGGACCCTAGAGCTTTGTCTTGTCTATTAAGAATATTTGTTCATATAGTAAAAGCACCTCACATATAATGCCATAGAAACAAACCACCATAGTTGCTCATTATTTGTCAGAAATAAGTGCTTGTTAGGAATGCTGATCTTATGGTGCACTTGTGGGGGCTGTGGTTTTGAATTGGGGAGCCCATAAAATCAAGTAGGGGGGCTTTGAAAAGATTGTGAACCACTTCTATATTCATATTCTAAGGTCATATTTGGCTAAATATGACCCAGATATTTCAGTATTTTACTTTCAGTGTTATGCTGACCAAAAGCTTTTCATGCACTGACATGCATGAACATGATCGTCCTCTCTGTTTGGTAGGGCACTTGTTAACAGTGATAGATATACACTATGTATGACCTTGTTATTGTTGACTTTGTCCAGGCATGTTGAGTGCCACACTGTTTAATGTGTGCATATTGTTGATGTTATGACAGGAGCAGAATGTGTGTGCTGCCAGCATCTGGGAGGACGGAGAGACCTTGGTCATAGATGGTTTCAGATTTGAGGATGCAGCAAGCAAGGAAGACCTGGGGAGGAAGAGCACCACCAGGCAAAATTGACTAATGGACACCTCTGAGCTATGTCAGGCAAGGTCACCAGGGTCAATGGAGAAAGATGGCTTACAAATGGTATGGGTTTTACGTATGAAATCTTGCAGTTACTGAGCAAGTCTACATGTTCACATTGTAGCATTATTCAAAAGTTCTGGCTTAAATGTCATGTAAGATTTAAGCATTAGATGTAAGTGTTTTCAGTACAGTTAAATTTGTTTTTGTGGAGTACTACAAACCAGTTAATGTTCAGTACTACAAACCAGTTTTTGAAATGGATTCCAAAAAATGTTTGCAAAAGCAACAGTTACATAGCTGGTCATATCTGTGAGTAAATTATTAAATTAATTGGAACCCACAGAACAAAATGTTAACTGAGCTATGTACAGTAATGTCCTACATGCTTCCTTAAAACATGTAGGAGTTCAAGTTTTTGAATCAGCGACTTGGTAGATGAACGAACAAGAAGTGCCAGTAGATTAACAAGTGTCAGAGCATGAATGTGACCAATTAACAAACTCCCAATTAAAATGTCTGTGGAATGATTAAACCCAGAAGTTTACCAAGCATTTACATACTAAACAGACTGACATAATGTATGTAAATGAGTCTATTATTATGCGTGTGTTAGTTCAGTGCCCAAATTAAGTGCTTGTTTTGGAGCACTCTCAGCGTGTTTGCAGGCGCTAACACTGTGGCAACATATTATAGAAATAATGGTCACTTGAAACATCTAATTAACTTCTCTTTTGCCTGTAAGCTGTTGTAGACAATCAAATGCAAAGAGTGAATTACAGTACATTTGTTAAGCATTCAAACCAGAAGCAGTGATCACCCCTGAGCTTAAAAGAAAGTAATTGAAGAGGTTTAAAACATGACATTTTAAGACATGTTTTTTCCGTCCAGATAAAAACATAGGAATACCCCATCAAATAGCCTTATAAGTAGTAATTTTGTTGATCTCATTTATCTTAACAATGACAGAAGGTGCAGAGTGACCATGTTTTTCATGTATTGTGGGTAATTTAGATTTAACACCAGTAAATGTGTCAATGGAAAAATATGGAACCAAAACACAAAATGACAGGATATCCCTATGGTGGTTTGTTTGGATGATAATCTAATTCCTCTCTTAGATACAAGCATCTGCTGCCCATAAATGCAGATTGATGAAAGCGCTGCAAATACTAGACAAGTATCATGTTTTTCATTCACCACTAGAGGGTGCTGTTTTCTTATCAGTCAGCCTTTCGTTCCCATTTGACTCGCGCTGCTCAAGGATGAAGGAGATACTCAAAATCTATTGCTACTTTCAAATAATATTTCCTATTTGAAAGTATTTGCCAAAGTAACTGCACTTATGTATGTAAGCCCACTTATCATCCCTTATCCTAACCATGCTTGTCACCTTACACATGACTCTTCATAATTACCAGGCCCTATCTGCTGCCTCTTTTGTTATGGTCACAATTATAACTCAAACCCTCTTTTTTGTCCATTTAGTGGCATTACAATTTTTTGCTAACTTTCTTCTCATACTGATATATTCTCTTTCATCACCACTAAAATATGTTCTGGTAGACTTAGTGTGTACCCCTACTGTCCCTGTGCAATATAACATCCCATCAACTACCACTGCATTGCTGCAGTTAAAGTTAAGATCAATGGTGCCAGTGCCACGGTCATACATCAAACTGCTGTCTCAGAGTTGTTTCACCCGGCTGAACTAAACTGCACCAGCCCACATTATACCTACACTGGACACAGCCTCCATTCTCTCCTCAATTATAAAGACTGAGAAAGGCAGTTTACCAGAGTTTTGGGTAGCTGATGCCAGTGTCCCAAATTACGTTGGCTGAGATAGCCATGAGAGTTTGTAAAATAGTTAGCTTGGTCTAAAAACATCTTCCATTTTTGGCGTTTATATCATTTCAATTTTAAAAATGTTCCAAAATCATATCCATCTGCACTTTACGGATTCATGATCACCCTGAAACTCTGCCATGTAATCAAGCGCTGGCCTTCTTCAGTGAGCGCAGAGGTCAGCTGTATCCAAGGCCCGTGTACATACGTTGGTACATCAGAGGACATCCCTGTGGACCAAATGGGTTGAGCTGAGCGGGGCATCCAAGGCCCTTCCTTTGTTTTTGCTGAGCCAATTAGAGCAAGATCGTATCTGCAGTGAAAGGAGAACAATGGTACGCTTGCGGTGTGTTTGTAGTATGTGTGTGTGAAAATATGCATAATCTTTTGAGTGTGGGGGTGTGCTAGAGGCTAGTTAGTCATTATAGGCCTGGCTGGCTCTGCTGCTACCCTGTATTTCTATGTATGTTGGATGTTATGGGTGAGAAGTATGTTGAAAGCAAATTATAATAGATGGCATATGGCTTTATCATTATCGTTATGATTTAGTTATACCACATACACATACTCATACAGACAGCCTTCAGGTGTGTATAAATCAGAAATGTTATTGCACCACTATGCATTAACGTTAGCGATGTTCTCAAGTGTTTCCACAGTTTTTGTAGAATCTTCTCTTATTTCATGTTTAGTAAAATTACATTATTTTTTAAAGAGGGGGCATTTTACTTCTACTAGTATTGTATTAACTGTTAACACAGAACATATTTAGATCACCATGTTATCTTTTATTGTTTTGACATTTGCAGAAACAATGTATTAACATGTTTTATAAGCTTCACTTTTGTTTTTGATGCTCTGAGTTGCTCCTCCCATTTTTCTACACACTAAGTCATTCCTCCATCAGAGCGCTATCACAATCAATGCGCATCCTGCTAATGAAACTACTGCATATCGCATGAGGTTTATCAAGTTGTGTACAGTTTTGTATTATGCTTTTGTATATTTATGGAGAAATGTCATTTGGGAGCATGGATGATGTAGGCTTGTGGGTGGGCTAAGCATTTAACAGAATCTTACAACTAACCATAAGGAGGGTTTGAATAGAACCTGCGAGAGATAACTAAATCACTAAAACATGCATGGGCGCTGTAAAACCTCTACAGGCATGGTTTTGATTAGGGAACAACAGTATAACAAAGCTAAAGCTAAAAAGCTAAAAAAAAATAAAAAATCTAACAAACAATTTTTTGCATAATACCCCCTCTTTAAGAGGAAATCAAAGTTTCCTTTGTTCACACTTGATTGGTTAATCCACTTGACACTCGGAGGCTGACCAAGTGGAGGAATGAGTGAAGAAAAGTGTCTGTGTGTATACACACAGCTGCATTAAACAGAAATGCACTGAATCATGATTTGACAATTTTACTAAAATAGTATTGTTATAGGGATCAGATTGCAGTTTGTTTTTTATTGTTTATAACCCAGTCTATTTTAAGATGGTGTTCCTGATTTGCAAACTATGGGAAGAGGAAATCTATACATTTTCAAGAAAAAATGGCTGAAGCCAGCTGTATGCAGTATACAAAGTCAGTGCTGCTGAGTGACTGTTTTCAGTTAGTGGTGAAGTTTTGTGAAAGTTGTATGGCCTCCACTCCAAAGGGCATGCAGGTCATTAACTCCTA